CCAACAGCGTCAAGTCCAGCTCGTCCCCGACGTCCGTGACGAGGCACCGCTCGGACCTGAAGTACCAGCCGATCCTGCCCAGGGTGAGGACAGCTGCATCCACGGGGGAGTTGCAGTGCACCCAGGTCGCCGTTGCTGCCGCCTGCCGCGAAGCTGCAGCCTCGAGCTCGCCCCTGAGCATCGGCAGGGAGAGCTCGCCCGAGTGCAAAAGCCCTGCCAGCATCTGGAGCGAGCGATCCGTGATCAGCACGAGCGGATCCAGGTCGCGGCCCCTGCGGAGCTCCGCACGCCGCAGCCTGAGGCCAAGGGCCGCGCCGCGGGGGGGCCGCCCAGCGCTGCGGCACGCGGTGACTCGCCCACTGTGCAACTCTCCGTCGGCCACGCCAGTAACCGCCCGTCCCCATACCATACTGGAAGTAGGCCCAGCTCTGTGGATCAGGTCCACCTCGACTCCTGCCGCTCGAAGGCAACGCAGGCGCCGCGCACGCTGAAGCGCGTCCCGCGCCCGCCCTCGCCCTTCGCGGACTCCCCTCATCGTGATGCTCGCATCCGTGCCCAAGTTGCGGGCTTGATGAGCCCTCTCGAACTTCATGCCGTGCGCCTTCCAGTACTCGCCCAGCTCCTGGGCCAGGCCAGGGCAGGACGCAAGGTACACGGACTTCTTGGCGCTGAGCGGGAGGTGCAAGTCCCCGAGCCGCCGCGCCATCTCCGCTCCCGCGCCGCCAAGCTGCTCCACGACAAGGCGACGAGTCCCCAGTGCTTGAAGGGCCACATCGTCGACGACGTTCCTGCCAATGACGAGCAGGCGGCCTCCTGAAGACACGGCGCGAAGGGGTCCGAGGAGCGGCAGCTTGGCCAGCGTAGTAGCACACGCACAGCCCGCGAGGACGGTGCCTTGCGAGCAGAAGTCGTCGGAGACCAGGCCCGCGAAACAGATGAAGCGAGGGGCTTGATGCAAGGCCAAAAGCCCCCTCAATAACCGAAGATTGAAATTGTGCTCGATGGCGCAGCTCCAGAACACGTCGTGCCGAAGATTCTCGTAGAACTTCACGATGTCCAGGAAGAGGCTGCCAGCCTCAAAGCCGGCATGGCGGGCAGCCGAGGCAAGAAGGTTGTGCATCCAACCCGCCTTCTCACAGCCCTTGCCCTCCCTGCCCCTGAAGAAATGGAAGTTGTGGGTGGACTCCCACTGCGCACAAATAGGTTGCCGAACACGGCTCCACACTCGAAGAAGAAGAAGCGGAATGAGGGCAATGGGGCGGATGCCCCCATCCAGCTTCGGGATGAACACGATCATCGTCGCGAAGGCCCCCAGCGCCTGCGGCCGCTCCTCATGCGCCGCGAGGAGGTCCAGGCAGCGGAGCTGGAGGGCACGCGGCAGGAGCAGCAACTGTCTAGGGTGTAGCTGGTCTGCTCCGAGCCCTGCAGAAGGCGCGTAGCGGCGGCTCCGAACATGTCGAGCGTGATGGGAGGCAGGGTCCAGTCCTGGACGTCCCAGGTGCCGACGTCGGCTCCTCCCTTGAAGCCTTCCTGCTGCCAGAGGGCTTGCCAGTTGGCCTCCAGCTGCCCAATAGCTATCATACTTGCCAGCGGCATGCCCGTGTCAGGATCGACGACCTGGGGAGGCGGCACCGCTCTGGCAAAGCGGTGCGCCAGCCTGCCTCCTCGCTGGACGGCCTCCTTGGCCCAAGCGCGCCACCGCGCGGAGCTGTTGCCCCCGTCGCGCCGCTGCGAGCTGTAGAGCCGTCGCTGGAGCTCCGCGATGGCGCCGACGTGGCCGTGGACTCCTGCCTGGCCGACGAGGTCGCTCCACCCGCTGGTGTCGAAGGCGAGCTGCTCCGCCTCCTCCTCCTCGCGGGCCGCAGCCGTGGCGAGCCCAAGGAGGCCCGTGATGCGCTCCGCCTCGCGCGAGTACCAGCCCTCGTGCGACGGCCGCCACCTCCCACTCCTATCGGCGGCCAGTCTCTGCAGAGCCAGGTCGAGGGCCTGCCGAATGGCGTGGGTCAGCTCGGAGTGACGGAAGCGGTACTCCCGCTTCGCGACCGCGCTCATCGGTTTCAGGGCGCGCCTCGGCCCCGCGGCTCGGCCCAGGAAGCGCCTGTGAGCGGCGGGCTGGATGCCGTGGATGCCCACCAACGTGCCCTCGACCGCCTCCATCCACTCACACGCTGCAGCAGGCAGGTCGTGGGGCACCGCGCCTGCCTCCCAGCTCCAGCTGCAAGCCACGGCCAGCCACTGCGCTCGCCCACTGCGCCGAAACACCTGCGCGACGGCGTCCTCATGGGCCCTGCAGTCGGCGGCCTCCACGTCTGGGAAGCGGCCAGGCCTCGCCAGGATTTGCACCAGCGCATCTGGCCGCAGGTCCTGCAGCCGCAGTCGGACTGGCTTATGCGGGTGCAACGCGTAGCCGTCCAGGGCGGCGGCGTTGGCGACCCCGTGGGAGAGGCAGAACGAGCTCGCGAACCAGTCGTACACCCGCTCCGTGCCCGATGCCATGCACGTGGGCTCGGCTGGCCCAAGGTAGGCACCTCGCTGAAGGGCTGGCCACCCTACCTCGTGGAGGGTCCCAGGCTCCATGTTGAAGTCGCCTTGCACGAGCCAAGGCAGCCACTCGGTCAGCACCAGGTCCCCCAGGCCACCGATGATGTCCAAGTTGACCCCTTTGGGCCCGAGGCCGTCCTGCAGGTACAGGGAGCAAGCCAGCAGCTTCATGCCCGAGGCAGCGGCCACCCTGACGGCGATCATGCGGTGCTTGAAGTCCCCTGGCACTCGCCACTGCGCCTCCCGCGCCTGGAGGTCCTCACGGACAAGCACTCCGACGCCTCCTGAATGGGCAAGGGCAGCCTGTCCAGTGGGCGCAGCTGCATGCAAGAAGGCCGCGTAGCCCAAGCCGCGGGCTCGGCGGCGAGCATTCTCCAGCTGGCGGGGCCCAAGGCGGACCTCCTGAACTGTGACCAGGTGCGGGCGCTCGCCCTCGCGCGCGATGTAGGCCTCGAGCACCTCCATGGCACGGTCCCATGTGTTGCCGTTGAGGCCCAGCACGTCGAAGCCTGCGCGGAGCTGCGCGGCGGCCTTCTCACATGCCGGCACGGCCCCGCCCACTCTCGCCTCGAGGGCGGCTGGCGTGAACCCCGCGGAGGCCCCTCGACTCCCATGGGGCGGGGCAGACGGCTGCGACGTCGGAGGGTTGAATCCTCCCGCCGTCTGCCCGCGCGAGGCCGTCGGGGGGACGCCTCGGCGGTCCCGACCGCACCTCGGCCCAGGAGCAAGGCCGCCTTCCCGCCGTGGCCCTCCTCGCGTCTGGTGCAAGGTCGGCCAGTCTGACGGCGGCGGCGGCGGCACGGGGCCCCAGGAAGTGGCTGCAGCCGAGCAGCTAGGAGCGAGCCCCCAGCAGTCGCCAGAGTAGCCAAGGCCTGGCCGTCCTCGTGCTCGTCCTTGGCATCCACAAGGATCTTGTGCTCGGCCTGGCCAGGCTGGGGCCAAGCGCCGAGCGCTGCGCCTGACTGCCCGCGGGCGGCGGCTGGCCCGTAGGGCCCCACTGCAGGGCTCGCCCGCTGGGTGGGCGGGCCTGGCCGCACCTGCTGAACTGCGGCCTCCGCTGGCGACTGCGGCTCCACGGGGGCTGGGGCCCCAGGGGCAGGGGCGGGGAAGCCTTCCTCGTCGTCGACGGCGAGCCCGTCCCCGCCAAGGCCGTCGGCCCAGCGCGAGGCAGCGGCAGCAGGCGCAGCGGGGTGGAGCATGTCCGAGATGGCGGCGCTCTGCGTGGTGATGATGTCCATGATCTCCAGGGGCCTGGGCGCAACGCCATCCGAGTTACGGCCAAGCATCTTGCCCAACTGGTTGACCTGGGTGACCAGGCCCCCGACTGCGGTCTCCAGGGGACGCTGGCCTCCGCACACCTCAATGGCCCGCTGGAGGGCCTGCTGGACTGTCTGAGCCTTCGACTCCTCGAGCTTGCCGAGCTGGCTGTTGAAGTCCTCGACCGCGGACTCGGCCTCGGCCAGCTCCTCCTGCTTCGCCGCGATCTCCTCCCTGAGGGCCTCAGCACGCTGCACGGCCTGCTCGCGCTTGGCCCTGGTAGCAGTGATCTGCTCCTCGACCTTCTGCATGGCGTTGGCGCCCCCGTGGAGGACGGCGTGGGGGGGCCTCCCGAGCCGCTGGGCCTCGCGGAGCTCGGCCTCGGCCCTCTCGGCTGAGCGCTCCGCTGCGAGGAGGGCCGCCCTGGCCTCCCGCTGGAAGGCCTCGCTGGTCCCATCCATGGCGACCGCCTCGCGGAGGCTGGAGACGCGAGCCTGGGCTCCCTCGAGCCTGCGCTCCAGACTCGAAGCGGGCTCCTCTGGTTGCTCCTCGCGCTCCTCACGCCACGGCGGCGGCTTGGTTCCGCCCCGCGGCCGCACCCTGCTGTTGGGCGCGCTGCTCGGAACGGTGCTGGCGGCCGAGGCTGCTCTGGAGGCCTCACCAGCTCGGCGCGCTGCACGCTGGTGCGAGCGCCCCCTGGGCTGCTGGACGAATCCCTCCCCGTCGGCCTGGGGCTGGTGCACCGCGCGCAGGCGCTTCGCCCACGCTGGCGCCTCCTTCCCGCAAGACTTGCAGGTCGCCCTCTTGTCGCACCAGTTCCACTCCTTGCACTGGCAGACCCAGTACACCCTGCGCCTCCAAGGTGGCGGCGCTCCAGTTCCGTCGCCCGACATGGCTGCTGGCCTCGCGCGCACCGCCCGCCCACTCCGCCTCGAAAAAACGAAGCAAGAAGCTGGCCCAAAACGCGGCGTCCCTCGCGCTCGACGGCGCCCGATGGACTCGCGGTCGTCGGGATCGCCATGGCCTTGAGCCAAAATGGCTACGGGTCGTCGTCGTCGTCGTCGTCGCCGCCGTCGTCGTCGTCGTCGTCGTCGTCGTCGTCGTCGTCGTCGTCGTCGTCGTCGTCGTCGTCGTCGGCGTCGTCGTCGTCGGCGTCGTCGTCGTCGTCGTCGTCGGCGCCCCCCCTCCGCCCGAGCGCCCAGGCGGGCCGGGCCGCCCCCGCCGCGACCACAGGCAGAGGCTGCGGGGACCGGCGCGGGGCGTCGCCGGCGAAGCCCGCCAGCGAGCAGGCACACCTCGAGGAGGAGGAGGATGATGAGGAGGAGGAGGAGGAGGAGAAGGGGGAGGAGGAGAGGGAAACGGGGAGGGAGGGGAGCAGGAGGAGGAGGGGAGGAGAGTCACAGGAGGAGGACAGAGGGCCTGAACTCACCGCCTAGATGTTCCGAGTCAAAGAACAGAGCGTCGTCACCGTCTCCGTCGTCGTCGTCGTCGTCGTCGTCGCGTCGTCCATCGAGCACTGGTGAAGGACGAATTGCGTAAATATGCACTGTCGGAGTTCCGCGCGTATTTCTTGGGTTGTCGCCTGGACCCCCTGGCGGCGCCTGGCGAATCAGCGCCAGTCCCAGACATGTTTTGGGCCGATATGGGGGAGGATATGGGGGAGGATGGGGATGAGGAGGAGGAGGAGGAGGAGGAGGAGGAGGAGGAGGAGGAGGAGGAGGAGGGAGGAGGAGGAGGAGGGGGAGGAGAAGGAGGGGGAGGAGAAGGAGGAGGAGGAGGACGAGGAGGAGAAGTCGGAGAAAGAGGAGGAGAAGGAGGAGAAGGAGGAGAAGGAGTGCGAGGACCTTCCCATCCTCCTCCTCCCTCCTCCTCCTCCTCCTCCTCCTCGTCCTCCTCCTCCTCTCCTCCTCCTCCTCCTCCTCCTCCTCCTCCTCCCCCGTCTTACCTATGGTAGTGGTGGTGGAACGTCGGCCCATCATTCCTTCTTCTAGAGAAGGGATATCCCAGACTCACTCTAGTCGTTCTCGGTCCTTGGTGTCGTCGAGGCACTGCCTCGGGACGGGGGCCGTTCCAGGGGAAGGGGCCGGGACCTTCGAGGCCCGCGTGGCGGAAAATAGTATGGCGTCTGGAGGAGGAGGAGGAGGAGGAGGAGGAGGAGGAGGAGGTTGTGAGGGAGGAGATGAGGGGGGCCCTCCCTGGGAGTGGGAGGGGGAGGTGGAAGAGAGGGGGGGTGGAGGAGGAGGAGGAGGAGTAGAGGCATCAGCAAGTCGACGGGGAGGACGCGCAGAAGAAAGAGACGAAGAGGAGGAGGATAAGGTGCAAGTTTGAGGAGCGGAAGACAGGGCAGGATGAGGCAGAGGACGCGGACGGGGAGGACGCGGAGTGGAGACAGACGAGGTGGAGGTTGGAGGAGGATGAAGAGGAGGAGGAGGATAAGGAGAAGGAGAGGACCGGTAGGATAATGAGAAACAAAAACAAGGCGGAAGGAACATGATGAAGAGGAAGAGAAGAGTTGGAGAAGAGGGAGGGGGAGGAGGTGGAGGGGGAGGAAAAGGGCGGTGTGATCACAGTGTCGAGGTGGTCAGTGGTCAGGTCACTGAGGGATGCCAAGTTGGCTCTAGGGGATTACTGGGGACTTCCTGGGGCAAACGGAGAGTGGGAGAAGGAGCAGGAGCGCAGCCATGCGGGGGAGGACTGCAACTGGGAGGAGAGGAGGAGACGGAGGAGGACGCCATGGAATAGAACGAAGGGACAGGATAGAGAGGAGGAGGCAGCGAGGAGGGTGACAAGGGGGTGGAACCAGAGGCACATGGTCAGAGGCAGGAAACGTATTGGAATTGGTGAACAGGAGAAGCAGGATGAGAGGGGGTGGAATATATATATATATGCATATATATATATACATATATATATACATATATATATACACACATATATATATACATAGAGAGATAGAGAGAGAGAGAAGGAGGCGGGGAGGGAGGCAGAGATGGAGAGAGAACAACACATGAGAGGTAGAGACATGGCGAGCAAGAGAGGAAGGGACATGTGAATATACACATATTCATACACGCACACATATCTACATACATGTACACACATATACATATAATTTCATAGACACACCTATAAGATCGCCCTTCGGAAGATAAGGAGGTTGATGGGGGGAGGAGCTCGGCTTTCGGTTGCGATTCGGGTCGGGTCGGATTCGGTGGAAACCAGCTGGGCAGCACGGCACACATGTTTTGCCATCGATCTACCTTTCGCATCCTGTATCTAGCCAACGATCTCACCACCGATCTCCCTGTATCATCGCTCTCACACTCGACCTCATTATCGATCTCACGACCGATCTGTCCAATGATCTCATCCCCCAAACCCTCTTCCTTCATCTATATCTATATATACATGCAATGAGAGAGGGAGGGAAGGAGGGCGAGACAGGGGGAGAGAGAAAGAGAGAGAGAGGGACAGAGGCGTAAAGAGAGAGCGAGAGAGAGCCACCGAGCGAGCGAAACGCATATCGATAGAGGAGAGAGAGAGAGAGAGAGAGCACAAACATATATAACAATATATATATATATATATACATATATGTATATACACATCGGGAGAGAGAGAGAGAGAGAGAGAGACAAACCAAACCAAACAACAAAACAGAGAGAGAGAGAGAGAGCGACCAAGAGAAAGGGAGAGGGATAAGGAGGAGGAGGAGAAGGATGATGAGGAGGAGGAGGAGAAGTGGGGAGGAAGAGGAGGAGATGGTGGATGGGGAGCACGCAGAGGTGCGGCACGTCTTCGACGTCCGCATTGAAACCAGAGAAGACGGGTCGAAGGACGTCATCATCGAGCATGACGAGCGGGACGCTTCCATGGTGGCGATGGAAAGGATTCGTCGGGAAAACCATGAGAAGTGGGAAGAAGAGAGGGCTCCCTCTTGTTTCTCCTCTTCCTTTTCTCCGCCCACCTCCCGCTTATCCTTGCCCTCCTGGCAGCGCCAGCCGGGCCACTGCCGCGATGTGGGGTTCTTAACATACCCGAGCTCCCTCATAGGGTGCAAGCCAGGCTGGTCGAACATCAATGCCTTCGCGCCCTACTGGCTCTGGACGTGCTGGGGCGGGCGGGGGGGGCAGACTTGAGCTCGCGAGCCGCCACCTGCCGCGTCGCATGCAGCGACCGGCGCGCCGCGCACCGGAGCCTCTCCTGCCGAAGGCCATTCCAGCTTGCCGCCGAGAAGCTCTCCGACCCTCCTCCTCCTCCTCCTCCTCCTCCTCCTCCTCCTCCTCGCTCCTCCTCCTCCTCCTCCTCCTCCTCCTCCTCCTCGCTCCTCCTCCTCCTCCCCCTCCTCCCCCTCCTCCTCCTCCTCTTTTTCGCTTTTTCTCCTTCCTCCTCCCTCCTCCTCCTCCCTCCTCCTCCTCCCTCCCTCCTCCTCCTCCTCCTCCTCCTCCTCTCCTCCCCCTCCTCCTCCTCCTCCTCCTCCTCCCCCCCTCCTCTCGCCTCTCCCCTCGGCGCGCCGCCCAGATGCTGCGGAGATGTGAAGGAGGAGGGAAGAGAGGAGGAGGAGGAGGAGGAGGGAAGAGAGGAGGAGGAGGAAGAGGAGGAGGAGGAGGAGGAGGATGAGAAGGAGGCGGGGGAGGAGGAGGAGGAGGAGGAGGAGGGAGGAGGGAGGGGAACGGAGGAGGAGAGGGTTGGGAGGAGGAGGAGGAAGAGGAGGAGGGAGGATGGGTCTGAGGAGGAAGGGTTGAGGAGGAGGAGGAGGAGGAGGAGGAGAAGGAGGAGGAGGAGGACATTCGAGGACATTCGAGCGAGGGGATCCGCGGTCGACTCAGCCGCCGCGGCCCCCGCCCGCGCAGGCCGCGCGGGCTCTCAGGGGTCGCGACCCCACCCCCTGAGCAGGGCGGGCGTCCACCCCACTGGCACTCCAGGCCAGAGTATCTCTGCGGGGCCGTAGCCCCTTGCCATGAGGTCAACCACGAGGTCGTCGCCCAGCTGCAACTCGTGGTAGCCTCCCGCCGTTAGGCGGGATCGTCCCATCTGGCCAATTCTGGCCAGCCTTTGGTGGTAATCCTTGTCGTAGCCGACGAAGTACAGTAGTCCCGCTCTGCGTGATCTTGTTCCTGCACTCCGTCGCCAGTAGGTTCACTCTGCCGTGTCCGTAGACGTTGTGCAAAGCCACCGCAGCACAATTCCAGCACCAGAACTGCCCATGGGCCACTGCAATGCTGTGGCTGTCGTGGATAACTTTGTCTTTGATCTCAATCAGCTCGTTGTTGGGAACACGGACTGCATGTCCATGATCTGCTCGGTGTGTCTCGTACTGCCTCCCGATGCACACGTTAGCCTTCATCCAGTCGACCACGCTGTACTTGCCTGGGGTTAGCCAGCACTCTTGGCATACCCATTGCCCTTTCTTCTTTCGCATTCTGTGGCCCGACTCATTCTCGATCTGATCTCTTCTTTCCTTTGCTATTTTGTTAGGCATCTGCTTGGGCCTCTCAAGCTTGGTGGGGTCCGCATCCTTGCACACCTCGTGGATGATCGCTGCTGCCCGCCTTTGGGCCCTCATAAGTGTAGTCTCCACTTCCACCAACGCCTTGACCTCCTGCCGTATTTCTGCCATTGCCTCTTCTGCTCCTCGCTGCGCCAACGTATCCGCCATCTCATTGCCCATGCTGATGTGGAACTCCTGGCCAGCCTGCTTAACCGATTCGCCGTCGAGGTGGGATAAGCATTTCTGGACACGTACTCCATACACACCGCCAGACCGCCTGCTGAGCATAAGTTCTATCCTTTCCCACCATGGTCGCTGAGCACCCTGAGCCTGCTCGTGATACTTGAGGGCCCAGCCATTCATAACCATCTGGCAGTCCGTGATGAACAGTAGCGGGCCTCGCGTCAGCGCCAGTGCCCAGAAAAGTCCTGCATGTTCAGCAGCAGGTGCACTTTGTTCTCCATCTACGGTGCCATAGAACCCGATATGGTCTGTGTCTTCAATGAAGCCCGTGCTGTCGTTCGGCAGGCTGGCCTTGTAGATCTCGTGGGCCACCACATGCATGGCTGCTGGTCGGTCCTCATCATTGTCTTCATAAGTTTCAGGCATTTCCTGGTCGAAAGTGGGTGCTCGGTCTTGCAATAGTTCGCGGAACTTGGCCTTGATGTCCGCTACGCTGTCGAACCAGTGGGATCTGTATGCTTCTCTTTCCCAGCCCGTAAGGGTGAGGGAATAATCGTACACGTCTTCCCGCTTCTTCTTTGACGATCTCCATTTCATATCACAAAAGGTCCTTCGCGATCTGGCTAGTGCTTCGGGTCTGGTATCTTGCTGTGGGTAATTGTTGTAGTGCTGCTTGTTCTGGTTGTCGCAGGTAGCTTTCCATGTACGCTTCACACCACGTCTTCCAATTAGCTTGGTTCCTGGCCTCGTCTGGGTCGATGTATACCGTCCATGTAGCTGCCCATCTGCCAAGGTCGTCCATGATGCCCTTTCTCTGCTCCTCCGCTTCTGTGTCCGTTGGTGCACTAGCCTCTGCTTCGTGGCACAACTCGGTTGGGCTCGCTCCCTTGTGCCACGAGGGCGTTGGGGCACCACATGTGCGCTTGCCCTGGCCGCTTCCATCGTTCATCTCGTAGCTGTAATGTGAGGCCCCATCCCACTCTATTGATGCGCATGTCGCTGCTGGTGTCTGATCCATCTACGAAAGCCATGCTGCACTGAACGGGATCCATCGTGACCAAATTGCTCGCTATTAAGTTGGGTCCTCTTGTTGCTGTCGTCCAGTAGCTGCCATTCCAATCACCCCATGCTGGTGGATCAGGTACAGGATTCCTGCGCTTGGGGAGTAGCCCTCATAGCCAGTATGCCTCCGTCTCTGGGTTGTCGTGCATCTCCTCTAAGGCCTTCTGACATAACGACTGTGATTTGACCACCGCGTCAATCTGGAGTTTGTCGTTCATTTCGCACTCGTAGATCCTGTGCTTCAGCGTGCCAGGCGCCCTAGTACAACGCGGACAAACTCCAGCTGTCTGGTATCTTGCTGCTTTACATCGTTGCCCTGCCCAGATCGCGCCACAGGCAAGTGCTTCTAACGCGCCTGCTTCTTGGACTCGGTCAGCCTTACGTAGTTTCTGGGGCGTCTTCTTGAGCATGGTGGTGTCCATCCCGTGCTGCATGCCCTTAACGTAGTAGTGGTCCGCTGCTTTGGTCCAGAGCTGAGCTTGCATGTCCCTGGTGATGGACTTCATGATGTCTCGAAGGTCGAGCACTCCCTCACTCTGGAACCTCCACGTCTCGTCACTCGCATCCGCCCGCTCATCTGGCATGCGTGGATTCCACCCCAGCTGTTGCAATGAGAGAATAAGTGCCCCCATTGGTCCTGTCACTGAGTTCCACTTTCCACGGGTTCGCATCTGGGCCAGACGTTCGATATTAGCTTGCCAGCCTTGTCGTAGTCGTTGATGTGCTGAGGTATCCTTTTGCCACATCTGTACCCATTCACGTACTTGTCGCTGCAGGCATGCTGTCGCTGGCTCGTTCTCGCCGTAAAAAATGATGTTGGTTGTTGATGTGCATCTGCTGCCAGATGTAAATCCAACCATCTCTCTGCCTGGCTCTCAGGTGGGCGTTGAAGAGCACCGCCGTCATTCGCCGCCATTTGCCTTTCTGCTTGCTGAAGATCCTGGCACGCTTTGCGCGTAGCTTTGCCTGCTTAGTCCTGGTAGTTCGCGCGGCTGTGACGCGCTGCCTTCCCAGCGCCGCATCTATGCCCAGGTCCTTGACGAACTTGTGAGTCTTAATGCTGATGCCCTTGCCTTTGAGGTGCTTCACGATGTACTTCTTGGTCGCGTCGCAGTTCGTGAGGAGCGCTGGCTTTCCTGAGACCACCAGCTTTGAGTCCAGGCAAGCCTGCACAAGCACATCGACCGCCACTGGGAACTGCTCCTGGAACTGTTCGGCTTGACCTTCGACACTCGTGTGCAAGTCATCAACGAACTCCCTCGCGATGGCAAGCGGCGCCGCATTGTGTGTGATGTCCAAGATAATGTAGATCACGGCCCTCGCTGCGTGGTTTGCCGCTGCACATCCAGCCACTATGTCGTTCCATGGGCATATTGGTTCAGCATGATCGTGGCATGCGCGTGCCGCGCGCGGGGGTAGATACATCAACATACTCAGGTATAGGTTGCCTTCGGATAATCAAGCTGCATGGCTCGTTTGATCAAGATGCTCAAATCCACGCTGTCGTAGAATTTGCTTGAGTCCAAGTAGAATGTGCCATATGGTGATCCTTTTGAGCTTCGTGCTGGTCTCGTCGAGCGACATAGAAAGTAACGCTGCACGAAGAGCCGAGGATCCTTGGAGTGCTGCATCCCAGTAGCCCGCTTTCTCTGCGCACCAATCTTGCCTTACGCTCTTTGCCATTTTGCCCCACAATCGCACAGGGAAGGGCAATGGTCCAAGTGGCCTTTCCTCGCCAGCAGTGTTAGAGCCAGCTTTGACCAATAGGTTGTGCCACAGGTGGTAAAATCGGTGTGGCCAGCATAGGTTCCGCTCGCACGAGTTGATCACGAAGGCCAGGCTGCGCTTGGCATCGGGTGGTAGGGCCTTATCTCGGGTGGTTGCCATTGGTCAGGACCATGCGCTGTAGTAGGTCGGAACTTCGGGAGCGCTGCTTCCAGGTCGTCAACATTATAGTACCCCCGCTGGGGTAGTTCGTCCTGTGCCGCTCGTCTTAAGTCTGCCATCGCCTCCTCCAACATCTGACTGCTGGTGTGCCTCTGCCACCTCGTCTGCCAAATCGTTGCACGACATGCAGTGGCGTCGCGTAGAGCGCCTGTCTCCTCCTTCGTGACTGGGTCCACTGCTGTGTCTGGTAGGTCTCGTCTTTCATG